ACACTTGTATAAGTGAAGGGAATGGAGGGTCAATAGTTCAAGACTGAAGCTGTAAACCATTGGAAAAACTGCTGTCATTCAGCTAAGGCTATAAAAACTTGTAAACTCCGATTGTTAGCTTATTAATACAGAGGAGTCGGAGTCGGAAGTACAAAAAACTGAGGAGTCGGAGTCGGAACATTTATCTACCGACTCCACAACCCTGATGGCAACCTTACCCTGCACAACTTTGGCAGGTGTCCGGCAGGTATAGGGAAGCAACTCCACTCCCCCCATATGGCAACCTTACCCTGTGCGGCTTCAGCAGGTGTCTGGCAGGCAGAGGGAAGCAACTCCATCCCCCCCCCCGCCTCGGTCTCCTCATTTTATGGCAGCAGCGACAGCCACCAGCTGGGTGGAGGTGATCCAGCGGGAGCAGCTAGTACAGGCCAAAAGTGCTCAGCTGGTATGAGAGCTGCAGCGCCCGCCAGGGCCTAAAGAGCACCAGGTTCCGCCCTTAGCCCGGCACCTGCAGCAACGAGTAGGAGTGCAGTCTGGAACTCAAGCAGCCCAAAGGTGGAAGTGCGGCTGTGCAGTTCCACTGGCGGCTGCTGGTGAAGGGCCCTGACAGACTGGTGGTGGCCCTCCAGATTTGGGCCAACTTGTCCCGCGCCAGGCTTGGCACCCTTTCCACCGCCACCAACCAGGGCCGCACCGGTACCATACCTGGTCCGCCACCATGCTCTCACCACCGCATTGCTTCTCCACCCCATGCACAAGCCCCGCCCTACCCCCACGCGCTCGCGACCTACTGGTACCAGCAAATAGTAAGCCCTCCCCGAAAGTAAAACCTAGTGTTTACTTCAGAGCTTAAAGCAGGGGTGTCAAACTCAATTTCATTGAGGGCCGCATCAGCATTGCGGTTGCCCTCAGGGGGCCGAGTGGGTGCGGCCTACTGGGTGGGCGTGGATGGAATGGGTGTGGCCTACTGGGTGGGTGTGGCCAGCTCTACACCGTTCGCGTCAAGGGTGCCTGTGGGGGCCTGGGCAGGAGTGGGACAGATCTGAGGGTCTCTGGCAGAAGAGGGTGGGACCAGGGCAAGTGCCAAGGCATGGTCCACTGGAGAAACCTCACTGTTCCTCTCAGGCCATGTCGGGGGGGGGCTTATAGAGCTAAGACTGAATGCGTTTCAGCATAGATGGCCACCACAAAATTGTACATTGGCTCCGGGCCAGCCTGGGCCAGGGCCAAGGCAGCGGGGGCCGTTCCCTCACTGTTCCCAGGAGGCTTCGCAGGCCACATGAAACCACTTCGTGGGCTGCATCCGGCCCCCGGGCCTTGTGTTTGACATGTCTGGCTTAAAGGAAAGTAAGACAGGTTCTTACTTTTGGGGAAACACGGTAGTAGGGTAAGAAAACTACCAAGCTCAAAGAGCACCAAGGACCCCATAGTTCAAACCTGACCTACAAATACTCTCATCTATCGGCAGACTTACACGTCGGGCAGCTGCTTCGGAATCAGCTCCACACTGAACCTTGAGCTCTTCTGCATGACCTCAAAGGGGATCTTCTCCATGGATGTAAAATGGATATAGAAATTCACCATCACTTCGCCACGGTCATCAGGTTTCTCATTCTCCTCGAAGGTATCTGTGCGTCCGTGGGCCACCCAAGTGTACGTATTGGGATCAATCGTGAAATCCCCCGTCTTGGTTGTCTCTTTAGACAAACTGAGTTGCTGGAAGGTCTGGCTGAGGTCTACTTTCTTGTCCTGGAATCCATGTTCTTGTAGACCCGAAAGGCGAATGCACATGTAGCAGGCGCCAAAATCCACTTCGATGCCACATTCTTTAAGGAACTTCTTGTCGAGTTTGATGGTTCCACAGAGCTGACCTTCTTTGGTCCGCTGCTTCTTCCAAAGGATCGGGATGTCTTGCAGGACAATCGAGCTGTTTTCAGCCAACGAGCCCAAAGTTGCTTCTATGTCACAAAGAGGCAGCCACACTTTGCGATAATCGGAGGCATCCTTGTAAATGTTCTTTGGGGCTTGGGAAGTGTACTTGGAGAAGCAATCGATGGGTCTCTCGGTGTGTTCCAAGCACACCTCAAAGCCAGGAGCTACTGTCCACAGCTGCACAAACGGCACCAGGAAGCCTCGTTGGACATCGGTGGTCAGTTGGAAATTCAGCACATCTCCAACTTTAAGTTCCACTGACAGTTCTTTGTAGTGTAAGCACTTACTCCTCACCATTAACCCCACACATTTGGGCTCCAGGGTGTAATTCTTCTCCAGGAGGTGGGTTAACTTCTCGTAGTCTTCATTTTTGACAGCTGCAAGGATTTCATGCCACACATCTCCATGGAAGTGAAAGACGTTCCCTCCGATCTCTGACCTCTTTTCGTTGTCCTTTTTGACTACCAAGGAGTAAACTCTTCTCCTCCATGTCAGCTTCATACTGTTCCGCTCCTCGATAAAATCTGGTTGGGACACCAACTGAAGGGCTCTATAATTGATGCAGGGACTATCTGGAAAGGTATCCTTGTTGAGAGGAAACAAGAGTTTGAAGTTCTTGGCCTTCCCTTCAATGCTGGCAACGAAAGCAAACTTCTTTTGAACCTGGCATTTCAACTGGGTGGCCAGTTCCAAAGATTGGACTCTTCGCTTGTACGTGTTGGCCCTGCTGTTCTTCCGGTTGAAATCGTGGCAAATGAATTCAATCTCTGGTTGGGAGTACTGGACGGGTTTCTTCGAAATCAGAGAGATGATATGCCGCTGAACAACAACATCCATGTAGCGCCGAATCGGAGAGGTAGCCCAGGTGTACGAGTCCACGTGCAAAGAGTAGTGGCCCATCTTGGACTGAGGGCAGGAATTGGAACGAAGAAAATAAGAACGGTTCAGGAGCTTCCGAAATTCCAAATTGATGGGAGCAAGTTTGGGATGGATGTCATCTGTGGTAATGAGGTCAAGCATCTTGGCGAAGTCACGGTCATTGGCCGCTGACTTGAGATGTTCCCACGAGGAAGTCAAAAGAACGAAGGGATGGCTGGTCCTCACGGGGACATCACCAGTTGGAACTCCTAGATGATGGGAGAGGTGGGTGGAGAGAGGAATGATCTCTCTGTATTTGTCCTGCATTTGGGAGATTTGCTGATGATTGGGCTCCGTCTGACAACGAAGAGGGGTTAAATTTCTGGTAGGATCCCGGTTTGTGAGCAGATCTCCCACAGAACTGTTGAAGAGAATCATAAACTCCTCAATCATCTGGTGAGAACATCGCTGACCTAAAGGAATTTCTTCATCCAACTGGTCATAATGACAGTCTTCGTGAAGCCTGGACTTCCGGTGGACACGGGAGAAATGATACGCCATCGCAATGCAATCCTCTAAGGTGTCAAAACGAGGTGATGGTGCCTCTATTTTGTAGTGGTTCTTAATTATTCCTTCAGCTTCCTCATAAGTCATCTGTCGATCGGAGCAGATTATGGACATGGCAAAGGAAATTCTTTCCATATGGTCGGTGGTCTTATCCAGTACAACAAAGAGGGAGATCACCAAACGTTCCTTGTGAGGAAGGAGGCTGAAGAGATTTTGACTGAGCTGGGGTGGCAACATATATATGGGCTCCTTCTCGGGAGCATAATAAGTTGACCCTCGCTTCTTGGCTTCTATATCCAAAGGACAATCTTTGGAGACCATTGAGGCCACGTCAGCAATATGGATCCCAATCTCATATTTGTCACCCATATCTCGGACACTGATGGCATCGTCCAGGTCTTTAGTCCCCAAGGGGTCAACTGTGAAAGTAGAGTGAGCCCGACAGTCTTTCCTCTCCTCTCTCATCAGAGATGGGTGACGGGAGATTAATTTGGCCACCTGGCTGGTCACCGAGGCAGGATATCCATTGGACAAACAATATTCCAAATCCAGAATACGAAGCCCATCATCTAGTGAGGAAGCCAAAGGAAGAACCTCCGTAACAATTCCCATAGGGTAGTAATAGCCTTCTCTCCATTTCACGATTTGTACCATGAAAAGGCATGTCTTCCGGTTTTCTGGGGTTATTTTCTTCCAGCCCTTCAACTTGATATTTCCCGCCTGGTCAATTTTGCGGATGGGAATAGCACCACGATCAGCATCAGGATTCAATGGAGGGACAAAGATTTTTGTGACAGACTGTTCAAGGGGGATCATGACCCGGAGATCAAACTCATCCACTTTGCAGACAAAGGTGAGATCCCGCCGTTCCACTTCTTTTAAGATGCCCACCACTTTCCCACGAGGGTTGCCCTCGAAGGTCACGTTGGGCGTCAGGATCTCCACCAAGACCTGGTCTCCAGTAAAGGCCATGCCACAGTTGAGTCGACCCTTGATCTGGATGGTCACAGAAGGAACCTCGTCCAGAGTGAAGGCGGAAGCTTGATCAAACCGTTCTTGGACGAATCCGCAGCGTTTGTATCGGTCGGGCTGCATTTGCAAATACTGCTGCATCGTTTGCGAGGGATAGTTGACATACTCGTGCCTTCTGCTTTCGGGGACCGAGACATTCGACTTCACCTTCAGCAGACCTTCCTCAGTGACCGTCACCATCATCTCTTTGCTTTCATCCAAGAGTTCCTGCAGTATCGGATCATCAAGATTCAAACTCTCTGTGTCGGAGACCCAGGAGTCCGTATCGCTACTTTCTTCCTCGGATTCAGAGCTTCCTCTGTTCCAGCTGGCCCAATCGGACACCACCTGCTTTATCTCCTCCAAGGTTAGGTTCTCCGGAGTGATGGACTTCTTCTCAATGCACTTCTTGATGAAACTTTTCCAGATCTTGCTGCACTGGCCATGAGAACACAGCGCGACAGCGTCTCCGACTGTGATGACCTGCGACTGAGCCCTGGTTATGATGGTGTTCAACACTCGCGCGTTGTTGAAATACTCCAGGTTGGAGGAACTGACATGGTTGAGGCTGTTGCAAGTGTGGATGGTGTTGATGATGATGACACGGAATTCTCGCCCTATAGAAAAAAAACATAAAACAGAAGGCGGACCTGTTTGTCAGTATCACAAAATACAGGCTATCCTCGACTTACAACAGTCCATTTAGTGACCATTTGAAGTCACAGTGGTACTGGAAAACATGACCGATGACCCTTTTTCACACTTAACAACCATTACAGCATCCCCATGGTCACGTGATCAAAATTCAGAGGCCTGGCAACTGGCATGTACTTATGACGGTTGCAGTGTCCCAGGGTCAGGTGATCCTCTTTGGCCACCTTCTGACAAGTCAATGGGGAAGCCAGATTCACTTTACAACTGTGTTACTAACTTAACAATTGCAGTGATACACTTGACCACTGTGACAAGAAAGGTCGCAAAATGGGACAACATTCACTTAACAACTGTCTTGCTTAGCAATGGAAATTTTAGGCTCAGTTGTGGTCATAGGTCAAGGACAACCTGTAACAAAATAAAGGCAAAGAAAATAAAACGTTACAGATGCAAAGAGAGATTTCAAATTATGGATACATCTGCCCCAAATTGGAAGTATTATCGAACCCTCCTTTGACAGATATTCCTCGACTTACAATCATTCCTTTAGCGGCCAGTGGAAGATACAACAGCACTGGGAAAAGTGGCTAATGACTGGTCATCACATTTAAGGCTGTCGCAGTGTTCACCGCAATAATGTGATTAAAATGCGGCTGCTTGGCCACCAATTGTTGCAGCCTCCCAAGGTCATGTGATCACCGTTTGCGACTCTCTATAACTGTCCGATTTGGCACAGCAACCAAACAGGACAGGTACAGACGTCAATGGATAGTTAGGACTGCAGAAAAATCAACTGCAACCAGCCTGCCTTCCATTGAGGACCTGTATATTGTGCAGGTTAGGAGGGCTGAGATAATATCTACACACCCCTCACATCCAGGACATAAACTGCTTCAACTCCTCCCCTCTGGATGGTGCTGTAGGGTAGGGCTTTTCAATCTTTTCACACATTGTACCACTTTTAGGATATGGCAACATCCGAGTACCACCAGTCGCCTAGCAAGGTGTCAAAAACTTGACCAAAAAAAAGAAAAGAAAAAAGTGATAAAGTACTGGTAGTCCTCGGCTTACAACAGTTCGCTTAGTGACTGTTCAAAGTTACAATGGCACTGAAAAAAGTGCCCCCCCAAGCCACAGCCGAGCAAGACACCTGCCTGCCCGCCCGGCGGCACTCTTCCTTCTGTCCGAAGTTTTCATTGTTGTGAGCATTTCTGTTGAGGATTGGCAGTGGGGGTGGGGTGGGGGGTGTTTGGTTTTCATTCCCCCCGTCTGCTGGGTGGTTGCAGCAGGTTTTGGTCACTTCACCTGACCCTGGGACACTGTGACCGTCATAAATATGAATCAGTTGCCAAGTATCTGAATGTAAATCACAAGATCCTGGAGATGCTGCAACATTCCAGCTGATCGGCGCTTCTTCTGGGCTCAGCGGAAGCGCCAGGATCAGCGCCGAGCTCCAGCTGGAGCCTGGCACTGATCCTGGCTCTTCCGCTGAGCCCTGATAGTCCCGAAGAAGCACCGATCAGCTAGAAAGCGGCACTGATCCTGGGGCTTCCGCTGAGCCCTGACAGCCCTGCAGCTCCAGTCATCTCTCGCTCAGGCTTGTGCGGTGCTGCCACCGGTTCAGCTCATTCCCCTCCCCCACTAACACTTTTCTAGGATGGTCGCGTCCCACCTGCCAGGTGCCAATGTACCATAGGTGGTACCCGTACCACTGGTTGAAAAGCCCTGCTGTAGGGCATTGCATGCCAAAACAACTAGACACAAAGATAGTTTTTCTCCCATGCCATCACACCTAATTCCCACAGCACTGTCTTAGACCTAAAGATATTTACCCATGTAGTAGGGCTGTATTACTACTATCCTTCTCATCTTCTCATCTTTTCTCATCTTCCCTACTACCTTCTCCGCTTGATATCTTATCATTTATCACTTGTTGTTTGTATCTTATGGTTTATGATTGTAATTATGATTTATGATCTATCCCTTTGTTGTTTATATGTACACTGAGAGCTTATGCACCAGAGACAAATTCCTCGCCTGCGTAATTACACTTGGCCAATAAAGAATCCCATTCCATTCATTCTTTCCCAAGGACTCTGCAAACAATTCTAAATGAGCTCCAGTTGCAGAGCACCCAAAATACAATGATGTGAGTGAGACGTAAGGAAAGAGGCAAGTACCCATCGCCACTGTGAATCCAGTTTGTAAGTAGCCCTAGTACAGGGCTTTTCAACCAGTGGTATGGGTACCACCTATGGTACATTGGCACCTGGCAGGTGGGACGCGACCATCCTAGAAAAGTGGTAGCGGGGGAGGGGAATGAGCTGAACCGGTGGCAGCACCGCACAAGCCTGAGCGAGAGACGGCTGGAGCTGCAGGGCTGTCAGGGCTCAGCGGAAGCACCGGGATCAGTGCCGCTTTCCAGCTGATCGGCGCTTCTTCGGGGCTGTCAGGGCTCAGCGGAAGCGCCAGGATCAGCGCCAGGCTCCAGCTGGAGCTCGGCGCTGATCCTGGTGCTTCTGCTGAGCCCCGAAGAAGCGCCGATCAGCTGGAATGTTGCAGCATCTCCAGGGTCTTGTGATTTACATTCAGATGCTTGGCAACTGATTCATATTTATGACGGTCACAATGTCCCAGGGTCATGTGAAGTGACCAAAACCTGCTGCAACCACCCAGCAGACGGGGGGGGGGGGAAATAAAAACCAAACACCACCCCACCCCCGCTGCCAATCCTCAACAGAAATGCCTCACAACAATGAAAACCTCGGACAGGAGGAAGAAAGCGGCCGGGTGGGCAGGCAGGTGTCTTGCTCGGCTGTGCCTTGGGGGGCACTTTTTCAGTGCCATTGTAACTTTGAACAGTCACTAAGCGAACTGCTGTAAGTCGAGGACTACCTGTACTTTATCACTTTTTCCCTTTTGGGGGGGGTCATCAAGTTTTTGACACCTTGCTAGGCGACTGGTGGTACTCGGATGTTGCCATATCCTAAAAGTGGTACAATGGGTGAAAAGGTTGCAAAGCCCTGCCCTAGTAGATCCAGTGTAACTTTGAACAGTTGCCAAGTGACCAATCGTAAGTCGAGGACTACTTTTTATTTGAAAATATTTCACTGTAGTCTTCCCCCGCTTGGAGCCCCTGATGCACGGCCTGGGGTTCTCGTCATGTGAAATCAACACAGCCAGGTTGGCTGGGGACGATAGATAACCTAGTCCAGTGGTGGCGAACCTGTGGCACGCGTGCCAGAGACGGCACTCAGAGCCCTCTCTGTGGGCACGCGCACCATGCCCCGGAGATGACAACTGTCCCTCTTCAACCAGCCGCCCGCTAACTCGCCGAGGTCCCACGTGGCCAGATGCATCCCAGCACCCAAGCGCTCGCTTGCCTCTGTGTGCAGGGGCCAATAGTGTCAGGCAGCAGCCGCCCTGGCCCGCCTCACCTTGCCCTGTGACAAGGGCACCCCCGCCCTGCCTCACCTCACCTCACCTCGCCTCACCCCACAGGACGAGCCTCCTGCCCACCGCCCCACCTGCCAGAAACCCCCTGGATCTCCCCCAACCCTGCCTGGCTCCCACAGGCGTCCCTCCCCATGAGCAACATTGAGGTGATCACGCCCACGTTGGCCACACCCACCCAATCTGCCATGACCACCACAGCCACGCCCATCCAGTGGGCCAGGCCCACCTGGCACCCGGCGATAAATAAGTGGGTTTTGGGTTGCAGTTTGGGCACTCGGTCTCTAAAAGGTTCGCCATCACTGACCTAGTCCCACCAATCCAGAGACTATCCGGTTGGAGAATGGTTAGGCTGCAGGGCTGTGATTTTTGCCAAGTTTCAGAAACTCCGCTTTTGAGAGTTTAAGAGGCCCACTTTTCAGGTCATTCTAACACCTTCTTGTAGAGGACAAGGTAAAATTGGAACAGGAATCTCACCTGGTAGGTTGTCATCGTTCTCCACAGTCACCTCTGAAAAGCCTCTTTTTCTCAACCTGTCTCGGATCAATTTCACCTGGAGAAAAAAATTCAAAAGTTATCAGCATGTTTGTGGATTTAGACTTGGTCTGTTTTCATCTGGAATGGGTCCTCTCTGGGCTGGCTTTAAAGGGTAAAACTGTTAAAAGCCTTAAGCATTAAAAATGTGCCTTAGGGACAGAATGACTCGATGGCTGAGCCTCTAACTCAGGGGTGGGGAAATATGGCCCTTTTTTATGACCTGCTGGCTCAGGAATTCTGGGAGTTAAAGTCCACAAGACATACAGTAATTCCCCACCTCTGCCTAGCTCAGTGATGGCGAACCTTTTAGAGACTGAGTGCCCAAACTGCAACCCCAAACCCACTTATGCATCGTCGAGTGCCGGGTGGGTGTGGCCCATTGGGTGGGTGTGGCCCATTGGGTGGGTGTGGCCAATTGGGTGGGCATGGCTGAGGTGATAACGGCAGACTGGGTGGGACTAAAAAGTTCAATCAATCAATTCCAACTTTGCAAGATCTTTTTTTTCCCGTGAGAAGTTGAAATTGACTGATTGAACCTTTTTTTTTTTTTTGTACATGGCAACGGAGGCCTAAAGCGAAAAGGTTTTATAAAACCCAGCTGAAGGCCTAGGACTGGGGCAATGGCGCGCGTGCCCACAGAGAGGGCTCCGAGTGTCGCCTCTGGCACCCATGCCATAGGTTCGCCACCACTGGCCTAGCTCAACAAAGCATTGCATTCTGGGCTGACATTCGTCAGACTTCCCCAATGGGGAGCCAGTCTGAAGGAAGGGCATCAACTTAGCCTGGAGAACTCATGGCTGCAAGGCTTGGTGATGGCCTCTCATTTGGATGCTATTTCCTTGTTTATTATATTTTTATCCCTTCATTGTTACTTTAAAAGTAACTCAAGGAGGTGTACGTAATCCTCCTTCCTCTTCCGACTGTATTTTCCCTACGACAACCTTGTGAGGTGGGTTGGGCTGAGAGAGAAGGATTGGCCCAAAGTCATCCAATGGCTTTCATGCCTAAGGCAGGACTAGAATTCCCAGTCTCCTGGTGATTGGCCCAAAGACACCCAGCCGGTTTTCATGTCCAAGGCAGGACCAGAACTCCCAGTCTCCTGGTGATTGGCCAAAAGTCATTCAGCTGATTTTCATGCTTAAGGCAGGACTAGAACTCCCAGTCTCCTGATGACTGGCCCAAAGTCCACCCAGCCAGTTTTCCTGCCTAAGGTGGGACTAGAACTCATCATCTTCTCATTTCTAGGCCAGCACCTTCACCTTAGGCCAAACTGGCTATCTTTAAACCTTTTAAAAGGGGACTCAAGGAATTCCTGACAGACAGAATTATCCATGGCTATTTGAATATTCCATGTGACCTCTGGGCCAAGTGCGGTATATCTCCCCGAAATTGGTATTAGCAGGAGGGAGGGAGGGAGGGAGGGAGGGAGGGAGGGAGAGAGAGAGAGAGAGAGAGAGGCTAGCCACAGAAATGTTGGGCTCAATTGTGGTCATAAGTTGAAGATTACCCGTGATGGACCATGTAAGAACAACATACGCCTTTGACACTTCACCTGTATGCCAGAAGAGACCACGCAGATGGACTTGAGGTCCTTCTGCCCCCATTCAGCCGGCCATTTCTGATTCATTTCTTCAACCTTCTCGACGATCTGTTCAACTTCAGAGATGTTGTACCAGCTCATGGATCTGTCCTTCTCCGCAGTTCCGGAGACGTGACAAAACATGAGCGGATAGAACTCCGGGTGAGGAGGGATGTTGCCTTTGGCGCCGATGGTATCTTCTCTGCCCACGTAGAAGTGTTTGGAGACAAACTCAATGATTCCTGCGGTGGAGCGATAGTTCTCGTTGAAGATGATCCTGCTTTTGGTGGCCACCTCATGCTGCTCCTTCTTGTAATGTTGGAAGAGGCGATTCAGCAGGGTGTAGTCGGCGGACTGCTCGTCCTTGTGCAAGGAGTAGAACCTGGGGGTCTTCTGCATGTGGTCCCCCGCCAGGACGATCAAGGTTCTCAGGGTAGCCAGAGAGAGAGGGACTAGAGCTTCGCACTCCAACATCTGGGCAGCCTCATCAATCAAGATGTGGGTGAAATAGCCGGGCGACAACCCAAGATCTTTCGAGGTCATGCAGGTCGTGAGGACAATGCGGTGCCGATCGATCTGTTCTCTAGTAGGGAGGCAAAACTCTTCCCCGCTCGGAGAGAGACAGCAGTAGCGAAGGGTAATGGGGTCGGTTGCTTTGACCGAACGGTACGTGGATTTCACCCTTAACGGAATAGCCTCAGGGTGTGACGAGATGGCATAGTTATGGAAGTATTCGCGAATGTAGATGTCAGCCGCACTGGAAGAGAAAAGCAGCGTAACAGGGGTCGTCCCATTTCTGCATATCTCCCCGAAATTCTTCATTAGACACATGAGTTCCTGGTTAATTTTATATCCCTCTAAGGAAGAACGGGGATTTTAACTCAAAGTGAGTTAAAACGGCAGCCCCAGTTGTGCAATTGAATCCCACCCTTGGTTTACCTGAGTTATATGTGCCACACCTGTGAAAAGGGGGGGGAGGGTTTAAATCTTAGCTGCCTTCTTATCTTTTTCGACCCCCTCAAGAAAGCTAAAACTGAAATTAAGAAATAAGAATTGCTGTTTCGACAAATTACTTCCTCTACCATTGGCCTTTTTTAACCCAAAATTGTTTTTAGGGTACAATGGTAAATTGGGACCAGAATTTCCATCACTAAGTGATACAGTCTTAAAGCAAGACATCACATAACCACACTGCTTGGTGCCAGCAATTTTGGCAGTCTCTGTTATGCAAGCAGCACAGGTCATTAAGTGAGGATCTCACATGTCCGTGACTTGTGCCTTCCTGCCGGCTTCCCATAAGTAAAGTCATTGGGGAAGCCGGCAGGAAATCGCAAGTTGTGGTCATAAGATTATTTACAAGCCAGCCTGCCAGCCAGCCGACAAGAACTTCAAGTGGGTGTTACAAAGAATGAGATCCCCCTGACACCAAGAAGCTTTTGGAGGGGGAAAAGCGGTAGGGGCAACTTATGGGAGCAGCTTGTGACTTCCTGCCAGCTTTCCCATTGTTTTTGCTTGTGGAAAACCAGCAGGATTGCAAATCGCATGTCTGCAGGGGCACTATGACAGCCACAACATCTGAGGACCCATTGTAAGTTTCCCTTGTAGTATTTTTGAACTCTGTCCTGGTTCCTGATTTCTTTCACCTAACACTACTGTTGAGTTTAGCCTCCTGGACTTCCCTGGGTCTTGTTCACACATTGCGTAAACTCAGCTATCAAATATAACAGTGTCCCTAAAATAATCTCAACCCTGTGAAGATACCAAAATATTTACTTCTCTCCAGCAGCCAAAGGCTAATAAAACTTCAAACCAAGATTACCTGTTGGTGTGGGTGCAGATAAGCACACGGGTCTGGGGCTTCTTGATGATCTCCAGGGTAGTCTTGGCCAACGTGAAGGTCTTCCCAGTCCCAAACGGTCCATAGATCAAAAGTGGTGGGGTTCTACGGACTTCGGTCACCTGGCCCGTAATGAAGAAAAGAGCTTGCTTCTGCTTCGCGTTCCCCCAGGGCACCTGCAAAGAACCACGTGGGATGGAGCAGGTGGTCACATCTGGAAAGACCAGCTTCACATCCCACAAGTTGTCCACAGCCTGGTGCCA